GAGGGGTGCGTGTTGCAGAGGCAGGCACGGTGCACGGAGCTCGCACGGTCCCACCGAGGGGTGCGTGTTGCAGAGACAGGCACGGTGCACGGAGCTCGCACGGTCCCACTGAGGTGTGGGGGAAGAACAGAGCAGACAGGTTTCCCGGCTGGTGGTTTCAGATGGCGATGGCTGCGAGGGGTGATGGAATTGGGCAGCCAGAGTGGAAGCGGGAGATGAATTAGTGAGGCGTTCTTGGTGAGAGATGGTTTGGGAGGGAGAGGCAGTAAAGGCGGAAGGAAGAGCGTGGGCTTGGAGGTATGGGGAATAACATGAGCTAAAACCCCAGGTGCGGTCCCTGCTCCTCAGTGCTGACATTCCAACTCCGAATGAGTCGCCCTGGGTTTCCGTGCCTCTTTCAGGTGATGAGGGTCCTATATCTAAGAAAGGTTGGAAGTACAGAAATGTGTGAAGGGGATAATCGAGGGACTTAGTCCACAGTAGGACACGTGTTAACGTTTGTCTTTCGGTCTTTTTACATGTATTGTTAGAGGAAGGACTGTATTGAATGACCCTTGTCAGGCACAGTGAGAAAGGCTTTGTTCAGAACCATTGAGGCGGCCTGGGGCCACCATGCTGGGATTTTGCAGTGGGGAGAGAGATGGAGCTCAGCTGCAAGTGGGGCAGGGGCCAAGGGGAGTTTATAGCCGAGGATCAGGGTGGGGCAGTGGATGGAAAATGACTGAGCAAACATGAGGAGCCAGGGGGATTTTAGCTAAACCGACCCAACGGGGCTGTCGCGGAAGGCAGGCTGTGAGACCCAACGTCACCTGTGGGACCCAGGGGATGAGGAAGCCGATCAGATATTGAGGGTGGGGGTTCTGGCTGCGCTGGACAGGACTTTACAAGGAAGGGACAGATGGCCTGGGGGAAGATTCAGGAGCTGGAGTCAGGTTTAGTCAGACCAGGACTGTGTCAGTATCTACTGTCTTCCAAACACCAAGAACCTCACTTTTGTTGCAATCATTGTTTTCAAAAGAAAAGATTAAAGTCTCATAATTTTTTGTATTCTTAGCTGAGCTTCGGTCATTGTCTATTCCTGGAACTTACCAGGAGAAGATCACCCACCTGGGACATTCTCTGATGAGTTTAACAGGTCTGAAATCTCTCGATCTGTCACGCAACTCCTTGGTTAGTCTGGAGGTGAGTTTTAGGTCTCTTTCTAAAAAGAAAATTCATTGCTATCAACATCAGTGGAAAGTACATTTACAGTGGAAACGGAGTCTGTTTTGTAACTGTGTGCTTATACCTGTAAACTGGACTCTGTGTTGTGTTTTATTGTGTTTGCTGTGGGCTGGATTTCATACACATCACGTTACATTGTGTTGTGGCCCTCTGCTGACGTTGGTTATATCTTTAAAGGAAATGAAATGAGACCACAGAGACTTACTACGGGGAGCTGTGCACACCCTGCCCATGGCCTGATTGGCCTTGACAGGACTGTGGGATGTGCCTGCCCCAAGCGTGGGCCCCAAGCATGGGGCCCGAACGTTATGGAGGCTGTGTCTGACAGCAGCTCGGGAGTCTGCTCCAAGTCAGACGTGGCCCCAGCTAGGCTGCACCCAGTGTGGCCTCATCCTTCCCCTTTCCAGGTCTCAGCTTTCTCATCTGCGAATTGGGGCCCCGATGGTTCTCACCCTGTAGGGCGGTGTGTGGATTAAGTGAAATTGTGTGTGTGAATCACTCAGCCTGGTGCACACGGAGGCCTCAGTAGGTACCAGCTGTGCTCAGTCGCGTCACGCTGCGGCACACATGGCTTCCCTAAACGGTCTTCTCACAGCTTGGGGCCCAGAGAACTTCACAAATGAGAACATGTCTCATTTTACTACTTTTCCTGGTAATGCATGTGTTTATTGCAAATGTGTTTATTAAGTTGGTTGGTTTAAAGTGTGAACGAATTCACAATGTCTTCCTGTTAACAGGGTATTCAGTACCTGACTGTGCTGCAGAGTCTCAATCTCTACTACAACTGCATCTCGTCGCTGGCAGAAGTGTTTCGGCTCCACTCCCTGACCGAGCTTGTGGACGTGGACTTGCGGCTGAACCCTGTGGTGAAGGCCGAGTCTGACTACCGCCTTTTTGTTGTGCACCTGCTCCCCAGGCTCCGGCAGCTGGGTAGGCATCAGGTGGGGCCTCGCTCATGCCCTTGCCCCCGCGGGAGTGGTAGTGGCGTCTGTGTTCTCAACGTCACACACTTGATTCCTTCTGGAACAGGGAGTTGATTTTCTACACCGATGGCTTGAGTCCCTGCAGACGCACAGCTCCAGCGGCCCTGTGTCTGTACAGGACGGGGCTGGGAGGGTGCAGGGCCGTGGCTGTGGGAGTGCAGCCCTGGGCCAGGCTACTCTGTCCTTTTCCGGCACTCTGCGGCGTGGCTGTTGGATGTAAGCATGTCCCTGAACATCTGTCCTGTCCTCACCTAGCCACTGGGCATCATCTCAGGCACAGCTAAACAGCAGGGCACAGCCTGGTTGTCCCCACTTGGAAGCACACAGGATAGACAGCTCTTTGTCACCCATACCCTGCCACGGGGACAGGGTTGGGAGGGGATGAGGTGCAGCGACCTTCAGGTCACGATCCTGAAAGAGAAGATTTCCGTGGCAGTCCTGTAGACCCTCAGCTGTGCCCAGTAGGGAGGGTCCCTGGGTTGGAGCAGCTGCAGGTCACCTTCCCACTGGTCTCCTGCCTCTCCGGAGGCGTTGTCGCTGTGAGCACCTGGCGGTGTCTCTGCTGATCCTGCCCTGAGTCACAGATCCAGTAGAGAGAGCTGGGGCCTCAACCCAGGAGCACACTGACCAGAGCCTGTGGGGGAAGGAGAGGATGGGGCCTCTTACCTCAGTCCTCCTGTGTGAAGTGGGGGGTACGAATGCTGTGTTGACATGTGGTGGGGAGACCCGAGTTAACATCCTGGGCTGCCCAGCACGGCCATTCGCTGGCTATTTCTGCTGTTAGGGTCAGACCTATTATGCACCGCTGTTCAAAACCTGCCCATCCTTCTGAACCTAGGACATTATCAAAAACAGAATCACAGAGTCCCGACTATCTTGTTAGAAAAAAAGACCAGCAGGGCCGGGCGTGGTGGCTCACGCCTGTAATTCCAACACTTGGGAGGCCGAGGCGGGTGGATCACGAGGTCAAGAAATCGAGACCATCCTGGTCAACATGGTGAAACCCCGTCTCTACTAAAAATACAAAACATTAGCTGGGCATGGTGGCACGTGCCTGTAATCCCAGCTACTGAGGAGGTTGAGGCAGGAGAATTGCCTGAACCCAGGAGGCGGAGGTTGCGGTGAGCCGAGACAGCGCCATTGCACTCCAGCCTGGGTAACAAGAGCGAAACTCCGTCTTAAAAAAAAAAAAAGAAAAAGGAAAAAAAGACCAGCAGAATCAACAGAGGACAGAACCCTTTCCCCACTGGGAGTGCCCTGAACAAGACGCTTCCACGGCTGTGAGGAGCAGTGGGTACTTTCAGAGGATTGAGATTGGTATGTCAGTTTCAAGTAAATAGCAGCAGAAGGAGGTCCTGCAATGGAAGCACATCGGTGGGTGATGTGTCTGGCCCCTGGGAACTGACTGTCGAGACCGAGGACCCTCCAGGGTTTGGTTGCCCAGCAGATGAATGCCCGGCACACTTCGCCCTTCAGCCCTGTGACGTCTGCGTGACGTCAGTGAAGCCGCATGCAGGACGTGGGAAAGCAGGTGGTGGAGCGTCTGAACATCTCGGAGAGTAGACTGCGCCCAGCTGTCTGGGGCCATCGTGGAGCGACACGGGGTGACGTCACCTTGTCACGGGGAGGACTGGAGTGTCCTGACCATGACGTGACCACCCACCAGTTTGTAAATGGAATTCTAACACTTTATTTGATACAGAGTCTCACTCTGTCACCCAGGCTGGAGGGCAGTGGGGTGATCTTGGCTCACTGCAACCTCCACCTCCCAGGTTCAAGCATTACTCCTGTCTTGGCCTCCCAAGTAGCTGGGACTACAGGCGTGCGCTGCCATGCCCAGCTCATTTTTGTATTTTTAGTAGAGATGGGGTTTTGCCACGTTGGCCAGGCTGGCCTCGAACTCCTGGCCTTGAGTGATCTGTCTGCCCTGGCCTCCCAAAGTGCTGGGATGACAGGCGTTGGCTCCTGTGCCTGGCCAAATTCTAACATTTTAAACTGCACTGTTTTGCCATTTGGAGAGGTTTCTGGAGATGCTGGAAAGAGCTGTCTGTCAGTATGTAGTGCACACACCCTCCGTTCCCCGTTGGTGACAGTGTAGGCTTAGTGGTGTGGATTGAAATCTGTTTAAAGGAGTCCTCTTGTAAGAATGCCCCAGTCTGCCACAGTTTGACCATTTTTTAGTAACTAACAATCAAAACAGTTTTTCTCTAACCTTCTGAAAGTGGCTTGAGGAGCTGATGGTAGCCCTCCGTCCTGGTGGGCTTTGCTTTTGCAGGAGCTCAGCGGCACTGGGCACTGGGGCTGGCGAGTGGCGCGGCAGGAGCGTCGGACGGGAGGGCAGCAATTGGGGGTGCATTCACTGCTCTGCAAGGGCTGGGAGGCACTCAGGGTACCTGTGTGGCCTGAGTGAGACCCAGCTCCCAGCATCACTGTCAGGGAAGACCCTCGCTTTCCCGCCCATGTGGCGAGTGCTGGGTGCTGCTGCGGGCCTTCCGGAGCCTGACCAGCGTGGATAGGGCTCTGCGCTGTGGCTCTTGGCAGCGAGGAGAGCCTCCTTGGGAGAATGCGTGTTGCTGGCCTCCTGAGAGCCTGGCTGCTGGTGCAACTCTCTTCCCCCTGGAGGGGGCCGTGGGCATTAATAATGGACCCCCCAAGACACACTGTGTGTTTCCAAACCCAATTAGGATTTTGCTGTTCAATTATAGGAGGCTTTCGAGGAATAAGCGCCTGTTTTGTAATGTTTATTTGGCTAGTTAGCCAAATAACTCCTAAACAGTTGAGTTTGGCTCTGTTTCAGAAGCTGCAGTCCTTATTATGGGTAATTTTTGGAATCTTCAGTTCTAAATCATCACCTCTGTCATCCAGGTTTTAGATTCAGAATCTTAGTGTTTCTACAGAGAAGAAACATGAGGGTCTTCCCACGTCAGAGGCGCCACAGAGCCATGGAGCTGCTGGGTCCCAGGGATGGCCTGCTGCCTGAATGGTGCCTCCCGGAGGGGCTCAGTCCTCGGCTATGCTTGGGTCATGGAAAGGCCTTGGTGGTGGAGGAGGCAGATAGCAAGGGCCTGTGTGTGGGGAGAAGCCAGGATGTGGGGTGAAGACAGCATCTGGGGAGACACCAGCATTTGGGGAGACTGCACTGGCAGGAGGGGTAAGCTTGGGGAGAAGGTGAGTTTGCGGTTGGCTTTGGACATGCCACATTAGAATTTACAGAACAGTCCAGAGAAGTGTTCTTGGAGAATGGGATTTGAAACTGACTAGGGAGCAAAGCGAAGTCTTGGTGGACAGAGAGCTGTGTGTTGTTGGTGCAGGGCGGGTGAAGGCCGGGGTGGAAGGGTGCAGGGCTGTGGGTAACCCCCCTTCTGGGCACTGAGGAAGGAGAGCTAAGCAGATCTCCTGCACAGTTAGTGCCTGAAGAATATCTTAGCTTATAGTGTTACTACTCAGTTATTTCCTTTTATATAATCTCTTATGTATAATCTTATCTTAGTTTATAGTTGGAACAGTTAGTGCTTGAAGAATATCTAAGTTATTTCCTTTTATATATATAATTATATCTTGGTTTATAGTCGGAGGAATGTCTAGAGCAGTCGGTGCAGAGCATGAATTCAGGGAAAACCAGTTACACCAGGACAATCTTTGGCCCAGGCGGTAGTGCCCCTGCCTGAAAGGGCATGCCTACATGGCAGGCCGGCCCAGGCGGCAGCGTTCAGTATTGTAGAGATGCCCGCGTATGGCAGGCTTGGAGCAAGGGTCACTCCTCCTGTGAGGGAGTTGCAGGACCTTGCGTCCAGTTCTTGTGGAAAGCTGGCCTCTGGCCGGCGATCCCGTGAGCGTCCGAGGGCTTAAAACCCCTCGGTGTCATCGCGCCTCCGTGGCTGTGTGACCTGTCGGCTGGCCGGCTGCTGTGCTGACTCAGCATCCTCCTGTGGAAATCCCAGGGAGCTGCCAGCAGGTGGCGGCAGACCCCGTCAGCGCTGTCGCCGCTGTGCTGACTCAGCATCCTCCTGTGGAAATCCCAGGGAGCTGCCAGCAGGTGGCGGCAGACCCCGTCAGCTCTGT